ACTCTTTCCTGCTTATGCAGGGGGTCGGACTCGATGATCTATTGAGGTCCCTTCCGACCCTAACATCTATGAATCTATGAACAGTTTATGACTTAGGTCAGCCACTACCATGAGAAGGACATCAAAATCATGATCTTTTTTAACAATAATAAAACGTGGGGGGTTTTATTCTTTTCTGGTCATGTTAAGCCTTTAAAGTTTGTGATTTTGAACTTGTCTTCCTTATGATAAGGGACAGAACCTCCTTTATTTTTTTGTAAATAAAAGGCCTGGTTCTTATAAACGTCCATGACTCCAGGAGATGAGACTTGAAAAAGTACCTAATATGGCCAGACATACCACGACATTGTAAGATCTGGTAATATGGCAAAACTACCTAAAACTTCATGGATTTCAGAGAAGCAACCAAAGAAACCATGTATTGGCCTCTCAGACACTTAAACTTAGAAATTCAGATGGGACAGTTAATATACAAGACAAATTACTGATTTTTCCAGGAATTTCTTCTGAAATTATTTAATCCAGTAGTTCCAGGAAACAGTCAAACAGTCTCTTTAACCCAGTACTCAAAACCAGAAATGCCTTCATTGCAAACACCTAGTGTGGTATCTGTGAAAGCAGCAATATAAGAAATGATTCTGTAACATCCTCAATAAAAGGGCCTGCTCAACAGCAAAATCATCTCCAAGAGTCATTTTGGATTCCTTCCTGAGAAATGAATCCCCAATTACATATTCTCACTAACAAACAAGCAGGGAAGATATTTTTTGCCACTCTTTCCTGTCATTTAAATTGCTAGAAGAGGAGCTGGTCTGAAAGCATATGCTGTGAATTAATCCACACACCAAATCACCAAAGCAGGATGTGAACATTCAACACACAAACAGAGCTTGTGTCCCCCCTGTCCTCACCTCTCCATAGGCTTCAATGGCTGGCTTCCACAGATGCTTCAGGCTCAGCCCCTCGCAGTCAAAGATCATCATGACCATCTCAATCTTCTTCCCCAGCTAGAAGAATATAGAGCATGGAGAAGATTCAAACAGGCATCATTCCTGCCACCTTGTAACTCTTCCCAGACCTGGTCACCTGCAAGGCTCAATCACAGGGACACACACAACTATCTCTTTTTGCTGTGGGATGTGTTGTTTTCTCCTTTTCACTTCCAACTTACTTAACTGGGCCCTGATTCTCAGATAGTGGTGTGTGTGACTCAGTAAGGGAAACTATCCTCTGCACTCCAGCATGGCCACATGGGACACAGCAAGAGGCCCTGCATCTTTCAGTTGGCCTTTAGAGATCACTCAGCTGTTTATGCAACACTGGGGTGGCAAAGCTCAAAGTCCTGGTCATGTTCCAAATTAGCCAATATTGCGCATCCTGCCTCCCCAGTTCCCACCACGAGTTTCAACCTCGACAACCTGCTTTGAGCGGTTCTGTCAGGTCACTGCATGATGTCAGGTTTCTCTGTGCTGTTAGACAGCTGTTGTCTTCTTTCTCCGAGGTGGTTGGTGGGCAAAAGGGTCCTTGTAAATCAGCCTAGAGTAAGTCCTCACAACCTAACCAAGTTGGGAGGCAGGTGTCTCTAGAGCCCCTAGCTAGGAGTTTTCTAGAACCGGAATTCAAGCTAAAATCCAGGCTCCTGTCCTGGAATAGGATCTCGAAGCTGGATGATAATGACTCACAAGCCAGCAGGGTTCTTACCTTCTGGCTCTGCCTGTCACACTCCTGCAGCAGCCTTTGGCAGTCGCGGAACTTGTATTTGATCAAATCTTGCTTGGAAGCTGAGAAGAACAGGCCTTTGGGATCCAGGGGCCCAATGATCTCGTACCAAACAGGGCAGCCATCCCGGTCATACCCACACTGGCCTCCAGACAAGTACTTCTCGATAACCTGTTCAAAGCAGATACACAACCTGAGACCCTCCCCTCGACCAGGCAGAGGCATGCCCAGGCCTAGTGTATACAGCAAAGCTTTGCCAGCAAAACTTCAGCGTGTTCAACTCAGAGCTCCCCAGTGACTGCCCTTTGGCCAGCACAATGACTACAACGGTCTTTGCCCAGCAGCCAGGTGAGGGGTCACAAAGACAATCCCATGCCTTCAGTGGTTTGCCATGGTCCTTACAGCAGCTGGTGCCTTCCCCAGTGCTCTGGCAGTGGTGCATCTCCAAGCATAGCGCACAGATGTGCAGGCGCTTTGGCAACATGGCAGTAGTGGCTGCTGGCCACTGCCAGGACTCCCTGCTGCCAGAGTGGAGAAATGCAGACATAGCTTTAGGGTTGTACCCAGAACAGGCCCAGAAACCCAGGCCATGATCTAGGGCAGTGTTTCTCAACCTGTGGGCTGCAATCTAACAGTGGGTTGTGACAATATATGAAAGGGTCACAAACAAACTTCAAAAATGAATTCTCCTTTAAAGGAGAAAAACATGGGAAACAGTGACTTTTCCCTTGCAGGCTGGCAGAGTTCCAGCTTGCAATGGGCTGCTTGGGGCCCCCCTTGCTCCACACACCCACCTTCTGCCCCATACACTGGGGAGCTGGTAGCGGGGGGCAGCAGGCTGGGAGTGAGGGGCACTGGGTAAGGACTGGCCACTGATGTTCACAAATGGGTCCTGGTGCAAAAAAGTTTGAGATCCACTGATCTAGGGGATGAGACCCTGAGGCAAGAGGCAGAGAGGAAATGCAGACTCACCTCTGGGGCCTTCCAGTTTTCAATGTTGTCGGCATCCATGACCTTTCTCACCTCAATGTGCTGTTAAAATAAACCAAAGAGGGCTGCTGACAATTTGGGAAACAGTTTGGGTCACTCACAGGTAGAACAGGGTCAGGAAATACAGAAGCTTGGACCTCCATTTTTTTTTTTTTTTCAGCAAAAGCTGAGAGCACAGTACAATGCAGGGGGAGCCAGGTATGGGCCAGATAGCTACACAGGAGTGAAATATATAAGGATCAATGTACAGTTCACAGCCTCCGCTTAAGAGGGTCTCAGATTGGGACAACAGGGGGTTGCAAGGCAGGACTGAGGGCATCAGCAGAAGTGGGAGAGGATTTGGGTGTGAAACAGCAAGAGGATGAACAAGACCAATGAGAAGAGGAGTGCTAGAGTAGGAGGTTGGGCTGCCGAAAATGAAGCAGTGGTGGCAGGGAAGGAACCTAGGCTGGTATAAAATAGAAGATAAGTAGTGTTCAATGACACAGTTACCTTAAAGTCTTCTTGCAAGAGTCAGACTGCAAGTTCCAGCTCCTGGCCAGGTATTATAGAGGTAATGGACAGATTTATGGATGACTGCAGAAACAGAACATGCTTTGATCCTGTTTGGGAATGTGGGTCGGCAAAGCATATGCTGGGAAACCTGTGGACTGCGAGAAGCAGGGGGGAGGCGGAAAGCAGCAGGGACTGTAAAGGAGTCTCTCACCTTGCGGAGCATGCCCTCAGATTTCTGCAGGTCAAAACAGCGGGCTGCAACAGAACACAGAGATTACACTCAGCACAAACCTTATTCCTGCAATGCCCTTCTAAAAGTTGTGCTCCATAGAATTAGTGCTGGCTCAACAGCACAGGAGGCAGGTATACATGGCATCAGCAGGGCGAAGCTATCCTACTCTGCTTTGACAGGGCTCCTTGCCTCCAGACCAGTGGGATCAATCACTAGGAGTCTATTTGATCCAAGGCTTCTCAGCTGAGGCCACCAAATGGGACCAAATAGGACCAAGGGGGCTAACAGTTTATTTTATGTGGACACCCACACATCGGGAACTGGGCTGAAAGTACCTGACTCATTGCACAGAGGCCATACCCAGGTGTCAGACCTGATAGCAATGCAGGAATGTGGCCTGGTGGATAGCACACCAAACTGGGGTTCAAGCACTGGCCTTTTGGGTGAGCTTGGGCCAGTCACCACTCTTCCCTGCACCTTAGTTTCCTCATGTATAAAATAAGGATAATGTACTGATCTAATGAAAAACGCTATATGAATATTAGGTATGAACGTGATAGAAAAGTGATGATGGTAAGAATGCACCTCAAACTGAAACCCCCTCTTTGTTCCCATTCTACAGGTACAGTAAAATCAGCAACATTTGTAAGTATGCAGCCTGAAAGTCTCCAGTGAGATTGTCCCTATACCATGGAGTGGAGAGTTGCATTGCTGATATGGAGGACAGACCAGACTTGGGCTCCTTCCCCCCCTAGAGGAAGGGCCAACCAGAGAGAAAAGATACACAAAGCTTTCCTCTGCTGTGGAAGTCAGGTCTGATGTGTACAAGGAAAAGGCAGGGCCATTTCTAAGCTGCTGGAGTAAGATTTCATCACATGGAGGATGCATGCTATGGCAAGTACAATGCCATTGCCCTTTGTCCTTAACTGACTGATCGAGGAACTGCTTGCTAGGACCTCATAGGCCTTGGCTTTCAAATTACAAAAAAAAAAGAAAAAAAAGAGGAAAACGTTCTAAAGTGGGCCAGTTCAATCCAGCCCACTGCCCTGCTCCCAGTCATGTCTCGATTGCCCACTAGGCTGATTTGCAATCATTTTTTGCATCTGTAATAACAGTGGCTTATACGTTGCTGAGTTTTAGAAAAACTTGTTTCACTCTTGAGGCTGGGGACCCAGAGACCCACCCATGCCTAGGAATGAGCTCTCTCTAGATGCAAACATCTAGGGGGAGGGGCAGTCATTTATTTGGTTTGTCATACCTTGCACAATAGAAGCTGACATGACTGGCATCCTCCAGATATTACCACAGTAGAAATGTTACATAATGCTACCCCAACTCCCTGAATCTGCATGGGATTTAATCTGAGAATGGGCTGCGTCTCAGTTTGTATCTTAATCACAATAGCTCAGGTGAAATGCATAAATGTAACACATCACACCCTCAAAACATTCCAAAAATATTTGCTAGTTAAGTGCAGAGTGCCTCTGCTAGGTGCAAGGTATTAGCAGCCCCCATTTTACAGAAAGTGAAACTGAGGCACAGAGAGGACAGGTCAGACAGTGCCTGATTCCCACATTAGGAGCATGTGTGAGGTCAAATTAGTTAATATTTAGTCGTGGGTTTTGAAGAATAAGGGTGATATGGGGTTTCACAGAATTATCCGCTAACAGGTAACTGGAAGTAAAGGATGATTTCTCTATGAATTTGAGAATTTCTTTTCAAGGACATAATCTCCAACCAGCACCATGATGGGTTCATTGGGAAGAAGACCTGAGTCAAACCCCAGTCATATTGGAGGGAGGGAAGGGTCTGTGGCCTTTGAGTGCATTCATCTCAACTTAGCTCAGTGGCCCTATAAGACATCCCTTTCTCCTTCAGTAGCTCAAGGTCCAAGAATTCTGGTGCTATCAGAGGGCCCTGGCATCTTTAGCATCAAGTGCACTTTTACTTGCCTCTTCTCCAATCTGAGCTCTTATCTTCTTTTTAAATCTGACAAGGAGAGTCTTTTGGGCAAGATCAAGTGGAGGAATCTGACCTAAGATAAATGTGGAAACAACCTACTCAAATCCACAGAGTGTTCCCCAGAGCAGTGCTGTCAACTGCCAACTCCTGTGACTTTTACCAGGAACTATATGATAGTTTGGGGTTTATGTTCAAGTCCTAGCTACTGGAGTCAGGTGATTAGATGGAAATCTGCTTTCATTAATAGAAAGGAAATTGGCTTGAAATATTAAAACATGACACAAAAGACAAATAAAACTGACCTGAAATATATTTAAAAATCTCCCGGTTTTTAAGAAAATGTGTAATTTTTTTTAAAACTCTTGGAATCAGCAACAAAGGTGTAGGGGCCTAGGACTAGCAGTGCAGAATTTTCTAGTGCTCTTAAAGCCACAGTGACATGGTTTGATCTACATGGAAGGACTATGAATGTGACATCTGCTACCTCTGTCGCTATGCCAGGGATGGACAATGGAACCCTTGATGTAAGACTATGACCTGATACAACATGAACTCCTTGGCTCACATCCTCTGCAGAGTGGATCCACTCTAATATATGCTCACTGGTAGGAAATACTTGTATCCAAATGGATCCCCAGTGAGATTTTAGGATTGGGCCAAAGGCTTTAATTACTCAACCTGGAAGTGCTCTGCCCCCCTTTCAATGACACCATTGAGTGATTTTTGCATGTATGTAGGTTCCTAGCTTCAAGCACTCAGTGCAGGCTTTGGACTTCCTCTGTGGCCTGTTGCAGTGAAAGCTTGGAAACCTAAAGACCACAGGAAGGAAAGCAAAGGTAGGAAGGGTAGGCAGGCAAGTCACTGGGAAACAAGCACCTGCCAGCTCTCAGTGCCATTGAAAAATCAACCCTTGCATCAGGCAACTCCAGCACAGACACCAGGTAGATTGGATACATGGGTCCTAGTTCTGAGACTTGTGTAAGGTGTGGGTGTCTGAACTGGTGTCTCTGATCCCAGTCACTCTGAGTCCACTTAGCAGAAGTGTGGTTGGAAATGTTCCTGGGTCACACCCAGACACTGCTGTGAATTTTGGACTTTCCAAACCAGATAGGAGGGGGAAAATGCAAGTGAGGGAGTTCTTCTGATAAAGGAGCTCACAGTCCACTGTATCCCCTGGAGCAGAGATAAGGCCCTTTGTTGCTCTGATATAGCCCCATCATTACAATCCCCTGCAGCCTCCCTGCAGTGCTGCTTTGAGGAGAGGGTGCTATCAGAAGCTGGTGTGGGGTGAGGAGGGGAGAGGTGTTTTAGATGCAAAAGCCCTTTGAGCCAATACAGCATTCTTTGCAGATTCTTTTCAATCACAGCCCAGGCCCAATCCCCCTGCTCTTCTCCCACAGGTATTGGCCCCACATCAACCCTGTCACTGCTGCTCTTTGTTCCTAGGAGGCAAAGATACCATAACTGCCATCCAGATTTCATAGACATTAGGGCTGGAAGGGACCTCGGAAGATAATCGAGTCCAGCCCCCTGCCCAAAGGGCAGGAAGTCAGCTGGGGTCATAGGATCCCAGATTCTGGTAGGTTTTTCCCTGGTCAGCTCTAGCTCTGGGGTATCCTCTTGGTGCCCCACAGACAGGATCAGAACTGGGGGTTCCCTTCCTTGGGACTGAAGCTCCATATAAGTACAGGAGCAAGGTCATAAAGATTCATGTACAGATGCTCAGAAAGCCAGACAGCCTCATGAGTAGATAAATAAAGCAGGATAAAGCAGGCTGGCTCTGGAAAAACAAGGCATCCAGCTCTCTCGTGTAGCCAAGTATTTAACTTGATCAGCTCCAAGCTCCCTGCAGCAGGGCACACTCAGACCATAGCTCCATGGCCGATCTGTACAGCCACAGAAACCTCCATGGCATTCATCCTGAAGGATTCTGCGTAACCCAACACCACAGATGTTCTCCGCCTGACCTGCCCCAACAAAGAGGTGGTTTCTTCCCTCATGCCTCCCAATCCAGTTCCCACACCTGAACCACGTTCCTTTGCAACTGGACACCAGAAACCCTCCACCTGTTGGCAGCCTCTAATCCAGCTGTACTACCTATTCTGTCCTCCCACCTGTAGGATTTTCGTTGCTCTTTGTTCTCTGATTTAAAGCTGGGAAAGCAACTCACATCAATCCAACACACCTTCCCCCTCTGGCCAAGCTAGTTTGGGTCTGGTGCTGCCTCACTGTCTCTGAGCTCTAAGGCAAATACTGTCCAATGCCAGCTGTTGCTTTGAGGGACTTTTTCTGAACCTCCCAGTGCCTTCCACTCCCCTTGCAGTACTCATCGGGGCATGTCTCCACCGCTCCATCCGTTTGGGTTCCTCAAGGCATGGGAGGCCATCTCCATGCCCCCTCCAGCCCTGTTTTCTTTCCCACCTCCCCCAGTCCCCATTCTCACCTCGAAGCCATCGCAAGAGGTAACAGTCATCTTGATAAGGGAGGGAGGGCAGTACATCCTTGATGTTCTCACGGAACTGAGGAGAGAAGAGGAGCAAGGACAGTGTCAGAGTGGTGAGCATTAGCCAGGGATACCCTCCAAATCGATTTCCCAGGCATCTCAGTGTCCCACACAGATCTGTCTCAGTTCAGACTCAGGGCTTTTCACACAACCCCTGTCATTATATGTCCCCTCATTCAGGATCCTGGGATTCCCAGTGATGAGTCCAGACCTACAATTCAGCCTGATGTGGGACATAAATGAGGGGGCAGGGAGTGCACACAGCACTTCTCTGAGAAATCTGGGCATAGATAGGCCCTACATATACATGTCAGTCAAAGCAGGACGTCCCACAAACCTGACCACTCTCCCAGCTGTTTAATGTTCCCCCAGCTGACAAGGCTGGAAGTCAGAAAGTGACTATTCTGAGCAGGACAGTTCACCCTTCCCTCTCATTTCCTCTCCCAGCTCCCCATTGTGGCTGTGCTTGTGGGGCCAGCAGAGAAGTGACTGCTCTCAGTCCCCCATTCTGAGCACCTGAGTGTCAACCAGAGGAGCCAAGAAGGGACCTTTCCAATTCCAGTATCCCTTTCGCATCACACCCTGGATCAGAGGCAGAACAACGGAGTGCGTGTGGGAGAGGTTTCCACCAAGGCAATATGCAACCTCCCTCTCTCCCGAGATCATGCCACAAGCAAAGGCACTGCAGAGGTAGAAGCAATCCATTGAATCCCACGTCCCTGAGCTCGATACAGCATTATGCTCTCTCCAGTCTAGAATAACATGTCCCGGGGCAGCTCTCACACCATCTCCCTTCAGAGGCTTCTAGAGCCATGAGATCTCATTGCTTTTCGAGGAGGTCCTTTGCCCATTTCCATCTTGTGACTCCTAAATTGGTATTACTTCCATCCCTTCCTCCCCTATACAGCAACCTAACTAACACAATTGCCTTTGGTGCCTACTCTCCCCAGCCCCCTGACTCCTGGGATGGGCACTCCCTTCTCTATACCTGGGTGTTAATGTTTCAGCTCTATAACCTCTGTGGGGATTACAGTGTCCTGCAGACTGGACTGTGACGCCAGGGGGCGGGGGAGGGGGAGGGGGGTTTGAGCATGTCATTGATCTAGTGCAGCAGTTCTCAAACTCTGACAGATTGCACACCACCAATTTAAAATGATACAACCTTAAATACCACCAGCAAATTTCTGTCATATAAAGTAATTATAATAAATCTGTTAACACGTACCACTAACAGCTTGTTTGCATACCACTGGTGGTACACGTACCACAGATTGGGAACCACTGAGCTAGTGGATTGCCCTTTTCTGGTAACAATTCAAGGCCTGGCCCCAATCTACAAAGCCAGGAGCTAGTCGGAGTCCCAGATCCTTCAGAGACTGTCACCCTGCTGTACTAGGGGTCTTTTAGCTGGCAGAACAAAAGGGTCATTGAACTGCCCCTGGGGATGTCTCTTGCATAAGGGAACTTCCCAGCCAGTATGAAAGGCAAGGCCAGAGCACCGAGTACTGGCTTCTGCAGCGTGTGTTACCCAAGAGGTCAGATCAGGTAGTTGATCTTTTTCCTCCTGGCCTTTAACTATTGCTCCACAAGGCTGGTTTAATTGACACTAGAGACTAGGTAGGTCCTGACTGCCCTGAAATAAGGAGCATGCAAAGTCAATTTGCAGACACACATCTCTCCCTTGGACTGCATGCAGAAATACAGAAAGAGAATGAGGGACTGCAGCTCCATCTGGTCACTATGGCCACATGGGTACATTGCAACTAGAGGCGTGACTGCTGCTTGTGTAGACACAGCAGGATTAGCTTTAATCTTGTTATCTTGAGTACGATGGCAGCGTACCCAAGCAAAGAAGTCGAGTGCACTGCATAAACCCAGCCAGGATCCTGAGTACATGCTCAACAGCTGAAGTCTCCTTCACTGCTACTGGCATTAGCTTGATTAAAGTTATACTGGGTGTGCCTTCCTACATTCTAATCACATCTCCTGACTGCAGTGCAGATGTACCCACAGAGAGCTGTACTCCTCTGGGACAGTGCAGATAGCAAAGTCCAGGACAAAGAGAAATGAGGGATCTTGAGTGTGGGAGGGTCTGGCTGTGCAGCAGATGTCGCCTGGAGATGAGTCCAACTCAAAGTCTGAGAACTCTCAGGTTCAGGGTTCCTGAAGGAAAGACTTCCTCTCCACATGCACTTTCTCACCAAACTTGCAGTCACCCCCATAGGTCTCACTCCAGAATAAATCACCATACAACCTTCCTAGAATCCCAGAAGGGAGAGGAGCCAAAAATGCCATGGAATTCATTAGAGACCCCCAGTACACCAGGCCAATTAGCCAGGCTGGCCTTTGGACAGTGCTGGGAGAGGACCTAGGGAGAAGGATGCTCTGGAAGCTTTGCTGAGAAGGCCCTGCCCAGTGCCCACCTGTGGGAGGGAAGGCTTGTGCTGCTCACTTCCATCTGGCATGGCTGCACCAGAAGAGAGATGTGGACCAGTCCTAGAAGGTAGTCCTGAGGTAAAGCCTACTCATTTAGGAGTAATCATAAGAAGTCTAAACTCTAAATTAGAGTGGTTAGGGTTCCTGAAGGGAGCCTTCACGGGGTCTGAGAAGGGCACATAGGCACTTAGAAGATTCATGCTTGAGGGGATGTTTCTTTCCTTGGGTCAGCAAGGCTCATAATAAGCAATGCAGAGTGGATCTGTGTTTGGTATATGAAATGGAAGGCGCTAATGGCTGGAAACTGCTACAGAAGCACCCCCTGGCATCAGTCTCAAAGACAGCAGGTTATGGGTCAGTGGCCTGCACAGCACAGAGAATCTGTGCCACTGTGAAGAGCTGGGGAGGAACTGCTCACAGGTGACAGTTGTGCAAATTGCAGGAACCCTGAGCCTAAAGGAAGCCTGACTATCCCCTCTCCCCCTACACCAAAATCCAGGTGCTTCAGCTGTGATAAGGTAATGAATGGTGCACATCTCCCAGTGACATATAGTGATGGTCCTTCTGTCCTTAATGAAGTTGATTAGATAATAATGATCTGAAATAATGTGTGGTTAAACCCAGGATTAATTTATTCACACTGAGAACAACACCACAAAGCAATGTACAAACCCAAGAAAAGATAAGAGGCCAGCAACCTGTGTGAGAAGCAGGGCAGGAGAGATTCCAAAAATCTGTTCTCAACAAACACCCTTCCCTTCTGTGTTATTCTGTATCAAACATGTCGCACGTGAAACTAAACATCAGGTCAAACCCTCTGCAAAGCATATGAAAGCATTTCCTGCTGTGCAAAACTGTCTGTACTGTGCTTACGATACAACTGCCTCTAAATTGACTGTCCCTCCAAAATATCTCCTTAGTTCTCCTCTAACATAAGAACAAGGGGACCCCTTGTGAAGGTAAAAAGTAACACATTTAAAACTAATAAGAGGAAATAATCTTTAAATGTACAAATGATCCCCTATTTCATTGTCATACAGTATGATAGAAGTACAAAGTTTGGTAGGGTTTTAAAGAAGGTAAAATATCTTTCCAAGGATAATATGAAATACTGCAGCTGTACTATATAGAATAAAGTGTATAAAAGAGATAAAGCCTCATGCATCAGGGCATAACCATAAAGACATACATTTGTGGTTGAGAAGATAAGGAAGCCTCCATTTTGACTTGTTATTCCCAAATAACCAGTTTTTAAAACTGATTTTGAGTGCTTGATTCAAGACAGATTTTGAGTGACCAGCACTTTAGCTGAAGTCATAGGAAGATACATGTGCCCAATATCTATACAAAATGGACCCCCCCACATCTCAGAGCTCATGACCTGGACCTTTGCAAATGTGGTCTTCTTGCTTATATTTGGTGGGTTTTTACAGTTTCGTCTGAAGTACACAGTCCTAGCTGCTGTCAAAGACAGGCACTAGACAAGATGGACCTCAGGTCTGAGACCATCTGGTGGGTCCTATGTTCTACTACTGTTTCTCAAACCTTGTGATTTTATGCCCCACTGTAGGAAAATCAGGCACTCTCATGCCCCCTATTTCAGCTGCCATCACCACTTCTCCCACTACCAATTCTCTCAGCCATTGTCTCTGTTTCCCTGGCCTCCAGTTATCATTGGAATTGCCAGCAAGGGGAAGTGGTGACTGAAGCAGGGGGGCATTAGAGTGGCTAAAGTAGGGGGTTGCTGCTAATGGCCACCATGATTCACAGGTGCTTCCCCAGGAACCTTTCATGCCCTTCCAGAGGGGAGGAAGTGTCCCAGTTTGGGAAACAATATTCTACTGGACTTCAATATAATGTCAAAGCCAACTGAACAACATGTAGAAATAAATATTAGGCTTGAATTTCCTCTGCCCCTTGTATAAGTACTAATACGTGTCCAAGGAGGTATGAAATGCTCCTTGCTCCTTTGCAGAATAGTTGATGATTCTGCATGGGGTAAGATTTGTGCTCTTGGCATCTAACATCAGAAACAATCCTTTTCATATTGGCTGCAACAGTCCTGTGAATCCAGTGAGCCTAGATTTGATAACCTCTCATTTCAATGGGAAAAGCAGTTGGTTGCCTCTGCATGCTGTTTCTAGGTGATAAATGATTGATAATCAACAAGTCTTTAGTGGAGATGTTGAATCTACTGTTGCTCAAAAGTGACTATCACTTGGCTTTGTTTACTTTATAGGCAGATAGCAGGCCCTGGATTTGTACCCAAACGATCATTACTTTAAATGCAGGAAGGCAGGTTTCCCTGCCAGCCAACATCCTTCTCTTTCTTCTAACTTGAAGGTACATTAAAACTGACAAAAAGGGTTTTCAAGTAAGGTGTCATCAAAACAAACTAATGAGATGCAAACTAGAACCATTAACAGCTGGTTGCATCAGTACTCTCCAAACACTAATGAACTTCCTGCAGTTCCCTTGGAAAGAGAAATATAATTGTTCTTATGTTATAAATGGGGAGAGAGAAGCCTGGAGGTGAAGTGATTCACTGGTGTACCTGTGAGGAATCTGTGACAAAAAGGGGAAAGCACATGTTCTCTTAGGAATCAGTCTCCTGTCCTGCCGGTAAGGTTATCTTTATTCATTATATTCTATGTATTCCTTATAGTCTATTTAAACACCCATGGTAGATGTACCCTTTAAATGCAGTGGGGCCTGGTTCTTCACCTTGACTCTGGGTATCATTTCTACTGATATATGTGCTAGTAAAACTGCTATCAGATTGCTAGGCGAGTCACACCTATTACAGCACTTACACTCACTCTGCACAGAGAAGGAAAGAAAAGGTTTGTTGGGCCAGAGAGGGAGAAAAGGGATAAAAGTGCATAGGAAGGAAGCAAGCAAGATTTAAAGGGAGAGAAGCACAGGATGCTGATAAAAGAGAGGACAAATGGATACAAAGAGCTACCCAAAAGAGGAAGAAGTCAAACTCCTTTCTGCTGCCTGGTATAGCAAGCATTAGCACAGAACCAGGGGCTGGGGAAGTCAGGAGAGGCTCCCCATCCTGGCCTCTTCCAGCAAGAGGTGCTGTAGGGCATAGTGTAGGAGTATTGGTTGTGCATATGCTCCAAGCTATTCTAGTGCAATCCTCCCTCTCAAGGGAAAGGAACCTTAGCTGAGAGCTTGACTGAGCTAAGACTACTTCAGCCTTGGCGTCAGAGGCCATGTTTACATAATATATTTACTATGGTACGCTCAAACAGACAGTGCTGCTTATGGCATTGAAGTTATGCCTGTTCCATATGATTAAAGCCCCTGAAGTTGGGAACAGTGTGGCTGTGTCTTGGGGGGCTTCAAGTGGGAGAACTGCTAAGGCTGAGTGACAGGCACATTAGTTTTACTACGTAGACATGGCTAAAGGCACTGCTGGGAGTGGGTCTGGCTGTGGGGGCTCCCAAGCTACTCCAGCCCCAGTCTCTCCCTGCAGGAGGCATCATGGGGAAGAGGGTAACGGTGCTGTGTACAGCAAAGACCTGCAGCCATTTGCTGTTCACCTTTTAAATACAGAAGCTGCTTTAGGAACAGTCACCAAGCTAATCAGCCTGCAAGGCACCTGCCTCCCCGAGATTCATCCACCAGACACGGGCCATGAATGCTCCCCTTTGTGTCCAGTTCCTTCTGCTTGTCTCCAGGCAACCACATTCCCCAGTTGAGGTGCCAGCTCCACCACTTCTGGAGGATACATTAGACTGGGTTCCCTTTCCCCCACACTGCACATCAGGGTGCAGGGGGTGTGGGAGATGTGCTATCTACATTCACCCAGAAGCTAGCTCGCACAGCCGAGTGGGAGCTCATTAAAGACTTGGCAGTGCTGAGACAGCCAGCATTATCATACTCCCATGAGCTGCCTAATCCTTTTCCAGCATCACCTCCGCTAATCAGCTGCCATGGATTCCCACAGGAGGCTTCTTTATGAATCACCTCCCAGGGTGCTCCGTGTACTATAACCCCACGGCTGCTGTCAAGTTCCTGGGGCATGGGAGAAGCCCCACGGGGACATGCTACATAAAGCTGGGTGCAGGGAAATTTTAAACTGAAATCTGCAGCCTGCAGGTGACATCAGGGAAAAAGCTTTCCTGGCAGCTTGGTGACAAGGACACCTCTTCTTCCTGTCCCCCCAAATACCTGCCCCTGCTGAGGAATGGATGCAGTCCCCATCACTGCAGCATCCCAGCATCTCAGAAATAGAACAGCTGAGGAGAAAAATAAGAAGACGCTGCCTCTCCCCCCTTCCCCAGGTGAGGACAGCTTTTCAGAGAAATGCTGTGACAGAAACAACAGCACTGCTGAAAGACAGCAACCCTTCATACCAGATCTCACCTTGTCTAGTGCCTCCGCCTGCTTCGGGCTCAGATCCCCAACTCTTCCGCTCATGGTCTCTCCGCTGCTGATTAGCTGCTGGCTTCTGTCTGCAAGCTGAGCTGTCTTGCACAGTTCACGCCAAACTGGATGTCTCACTGCTAGGCTGCAAGCACCGCCTCTTAAAGGGGATGCCTCTCTCGAGCTGTCACAGGCAGGCAAGAACCAGTTCTGCAGGAAGGAAAGGGCACCGTAGCTGGAGGGCACTGGCGGAGGTGCTGGACATGCAGCACCTGCCCCCATGAGTGCCTAACATGTTTTCCCCCCTTTAGTGTTCTGCGATAGTAGGTGGGACCTGGGTAGACTTCCAAGCCTCTGGCCTTGGACTCTTGCTCGGTTGCAGAGTTTGCCCTCTCAGTTACTCACCTGATAATAATCACTAGTGAGGCTATAGGTTTTCACTGGGGGACAGTATTTGCACTGGAAAGAGATAGGATATTTGACATCATGTTTTCATTTTATTCCTGTAGATCGAAATCATGAGTGCATCCAGAGCCAAAGCACAGACACCTCCCAGCGCACCTGCAGGCTGACATGGGGTCAGGGTGAAAGATGGGGACCTCCCCCACCTCAGACACAGAGCACCATGCAACCACTCTGCCCCAGGCCAGAATTCTCCCCTTTCCTTCCACTTACATCTTGCAGACATTGTTGTCCAGTTCCCTTTCTTCCTCTGTTGTCCAGTTTAGAAGTCTCTTTGAAGCCACCTTGCCATGCAGAATACCTCAACTCCCAGTGCCTGCAAATCAAAATAAAGAAAGCTACTCTAGTAGCAGGCACCCGGCAGGGTCTTGACTGTTTAATGATGGCTGAGCCAGAGCGGATGAGAATGATAGCAGCCACCTATCCCCTCCTCCCTAAATTTCTGAGGCCATTCAGGGAATGAACTAATCCCAAGCCTGAGCTAGAGCAACCAGAGGGCCACAGAGGTACCCATAAGGCCATTTAAAGGTTACGAATAGCCACAGCACAAGAGTACTTCTACCAATATAGATTGCAAGAGCTCTCTGGGACAGATACTGTCAAACCAGGGTTCCTCGGTGCTACAAATGATAACTAAGCACTCTCTTCTTCAGTCATGTCCAGTGCTGGCTGCAAGGACAGTGCAAGAACTGTTCACCTGGCCCTGATATCAGGATATTAGCAGATATCTTCATCAAGGTGATTTGCTATGTGGCTCTATTATGCCTACAGAAGTGACATATGAGGGCCCTAGCCTTCTGTAGCTAGCCAGCAGCTTCCTAGCTAAGACACCAGGTGCAAGGGAAATGCTATTGTCAAGCATGGGGGGGGGGAGGCAGAGACAACAAAGATGCAAGTAGCCTAGTGCCAGTGCAGCTTCCCGGATGGAAGTGCTAATGGAGACTGGGCCTGGGACTTGTGTACCTCTATGTTATATGATTCATTACTGCCTGACATGATTGCCAATCAAAGATGCAAATCATGCTGTGCGGGGCAGTGCCCACTCCCTTTGAAACTCTCCAACATAATCTGTTTAGTTTCTGCCTTATTCTACCTACTTCCCTCATGCCTAATGAATCCACAGTCCCTAGCCACCTGCTAGGGGCATTTGTACACGACAGGGGTTTAATCCCCAAGATTTTATTCTATGCCCCCTAAATTGAAATGGTGGGGCATAAAATAAAAACCTGAGGACTAAACCATTTAAATGTTTCCGTCGCATTACAGTGAAGGGCCCAATCTTTTTTTTTTGTGTGTGTGTGTGAGAGCCAGAGCCTGCCCATGGCTGGGGGTGAGCTGCCGGCAGGCCACGTGACCCCTGAGCTGTGGGGGGCCCCAGTCCTTCCCTCTGCAGTGGTAGAGTCCCCCAGGGATGCCTCGGTGGGCTGCTAGCAAGACAGGGGTTGCCCCAGCTTGGAGGCAGCATCAGGCCCAATCCAACTCTTCCCTGACTCCAAGCTGGGGCAGCCCCTGGCCTGCTAGCAGCCCACCTGGGTGGCCCTGGGGGGTGCTGCTGCTGCTGCGGGAAGGACTGGGGTCCCCTACAGCTCAGGGGCAGCTCAGCCCACCAGTAGCTTGCCCCACCCCTGACTGCAGGAGAGGCTCTCCTGTGGCCCTGGGGCAAGCTGACAGCTGCATTGTTGCAATTTTGCAAAATTGCAAACTAAACTACATCTGGATATAGTTTAGTTTGCAATGATGCAAAGTCATTTAAAACCCCCAAAAGTCTTGCACATGCAAACTGTGATGCCATTAAGTCACACACAGTGACATTTTCGTCTTGTGTGCATGTTAATGGCATCACGTGTTGAAGCATCCCTACACCCTACCTTTTCAAATCTTCCCTTAAAATCTTAATTCTTGCAGTATTGATCTCTTCCCTAATAACACCCTGGACATGAACAGCAGTCTCATTTCAGGTCTTGACATGTTTCATCCTTGTTTGCACAGCCTCTTTCAGCTCCTCGGGGCAGGGAACACACCCTGACCTGTTCCTGACGCACTCTGTATTTTTATAGTTCTCCATAAGGGAGCAGAGAAGTAGAAATTATGATTGCTGTGTTCCACCCATGATGCATCCACAGATTGCTTTGTAACCCGAAGAAAGTCACTTAGCAGATGTGCTTAAGTTTCTCCATACAGTTCTAGTGGGGGAGGTTGTCAATACAGCCAATCAAAAAGGGTATAAGATTTTTTGCACAAGTATTTCTGTGATAAAATTTGTGAACTCAATATTTTTTCTTATTGGTAACTTGAATGGAAAACAGCAAAAATTGGGGTTTTTAAAGCACCATGTCAATGTGTGGTCTTTCCTGTTTATGTAGGCTGAGCTGGGCCCCATGATGAGTCCCACAGCTGCCCACTCTGATCATATCTCTGTGGCTTTTGGTGAGAATTGAAAATCCCAAAGCCCCTCCTTTTAGTGAATATCAGACTTACCCACTTTCTGATTTTCACCAAAATAGAGTTTTGACCAATGTGGAGGAAGGGGGGACCCAGCTGGAGAGAAGGAATAGGAAGGAGCCTGGTGAGAGCTAGAAGGGGGGCAAAAGGCCTGGTGCTGGCTACAACTGGCAGAGCTGACTAAAGTAAGAGGAAAAGGATGTGGCAGGTGGAAGGTGGTTGGAATCAAAGTGAAAAAGCTTCAGCTGACCAGTGCGGGATGAGACTCACTAACTCTAATGAAGGTCACCCTGTGTGGTGACCTTCATAGCAGATGTTTAATTTTTAGTAGATAATTTGTTTTTTATCTATATTTTAAAAAATGGTATCTTCTGCAAGATTTTGTGTGTGCGGCCCTTGACAGCTCACCAAAACTCGTTAAGTGGCCCACCAACCCAAATAATTACCCACCCCTGTCTTAACCTCACTGTAACCCTACAGCCACTGACTCACCCCTGTACAAATTGACTCTGCTGCCTGCCACAGGCCTCTGTGAGATGTCTATGAAATCATGGCTTCATCCCATATTCCAAGAAACTCATTTCTGCTACAGGCATCTGTGAGGTCACTGTCTACTCCTGTATCCTGAGTAACCAAATGATGATTCTAGCGGAAATTAGGATTTTGTCATTTTCATCAGTCAACTAGACTTTACCCACTGATGCCTCTAATATTCCCTGAACATTTTTAACTTACTGGATGCAGCTTTCAAAAGTTATTGTGTTACATACCAATATACTAATAGAGAAATGTCTCTGAGGCAGCTGTAAGGCCTCATTTCACTTGATCAACTAGTATTTTTGATAGCACAGAAGTTTCCAGATTTCCACAGAAGTTTTCCAGGGTTTGGCTCCCAGGGACACTCATAGAGCCATTATTTAACTTTGGGCAAGACACTTACTATTTATGCCTCAGTTTTTCCATTCATTTCTAAGCTTGGGAGGGTTGTGAGGAGAGATCATCAACAGGAACAGAAACACTTTTGCAGATTGTTTTTATGTTGCTGCAAAATGCATCAATTTAAATTATTTTTAAGAAAAAAACTAACCATTCAATAAACTGGTTGGAAAAACAGCAAAAAAAGAGAAATCTGCTTTAAACAATTTCATGATGTCTATTTCTTGACATTTCAGAGTAGGGTTGCCATTGCCAACTCTGTTTGAATCTATTCCAGGAGGTTTCATCACATGATGCAATGACATTAATGAGTGATCTACTGTACTGTACTCAGGAAGGCAAATGTACATTACTATTACATTTTAGAAACCCACTGGACTACTGGGTTAATTGGATTCAACATTTAATATTTATTTGAATGAATGTCCTATCATTGATCTCCTGGGTGACTCTCAGCAGTCTTCTGGAGATTGTATCTAATTCCTGGAGACTCCAGGGCAATTGTGATGGGTTGGCAACCCTATTTCAGACTGTTTATTCAATAGTCCTGATGAGATATTTGGTCTTAAATCTGACACTGCTTTCTGTTTTGGCTCTGCTTTATTGTTAGTGTTCCACAAGCTAATATATAGTAGATAACTGAGCCTTGAATTAGGCTAATGTCTCAGATATAGAGATAGGTATATCAAGAACACTTCTTGCTTGAGTTGCACTGTGCACAGCACAGAATCACAAAATACTGTGATCCATGTGCCAGCACAGGATACTGACTATAGCACTGTGGATGTTCTTAAGAATCAGAGCAGCTGTCCTCCTTGGCCTTGCTCAGCTTTCTCCTGTTTTATGTGACTGACCTTCAGGGGATGGTTATAATGTAGAACGCTCCTGTGGATGCTGTATTGCGAGTCAGTGGTATTTAAGCATCCAAATTGAGTTGAAACTCATGTTGATTGCAGTGGGAAACAGAGGGGATCAGCCCTCCTTCTCAGTTCAAAGCCTTCCCTGATAGCAGCTTCTGAACAGGAACAAATTGCATTTGATCTTTACTTCTCTGCTGTGGAATGACCTAAAGCGAAGCAGGGGTGAACCAAGGGGTTGAAGTTATTGACCTGATCCAAAGCTTATTAGAATCGATAGGAATCTTTTTGCTGACTTTGGTGGGCATTGGACCTGGTCCCAAACAGGGAAAAAGTAAGCTTGACAGTTGCATACAAATCCTGGGCTGGATTCCACATTGTGTGGGATCATGTGTG